TTTTTTAATAAACAATTTTTTTTCAATGTATCTAAAACTAACATAACGTAAATTATGATTCATTTAAAATATTATACTTGCAGATATTAGAAACACAGATTTATTTATTTGGGTTAAGACTTATATGTAATAATGTATGATAATCATTATTGACTTTGATTATAATAACTCCAGTATATTATTTTGATGATTATGAGGCATAAATTTACATACCTGTCATTTTCCATTCAACCTTTTGTCTTTGTTAGTTCATTTAAATGGTGATTTCGCATTAATTAAAAAAACTAGAGATATACCACCTTGTCCCTGAATTATTTACAATACTTTTCTTACATTTTAATTACAATATTAATAATTATGTATACATTTACATATGTCTGTCACTTTTTTTTTAATTCAACCTTTTATCCTTTTTTAAAAACTACAGTTTCTCTGTTGTAATTATGCATTTTTTTAACGAACTAATTTCATGGCATCTTCTTTTATAGTTTTATAATGAAAAAAAAGTTAATAAAAATGGCTAATTTAAAATGGTATTCTAAAATATATTAGAAACAAGGTGTTTATTTGCTTGTACATTTATATGATCGTCAAAGTCAGTATTATTGATTTTAATAATATATATTCAAGTATGAAATGTATGTATACCTGTCATAATTTGCATTTCACTTTTTGTTTATTCAACCTTTTGCCTTTGCTAGTTAATTTTCATTTGTCCTGTGGTGACAAATTAATTAAAAAAAGTACAGATATACCATGTTGTCTTTCATGTACAATTAGCTCATTAAAAGTAAACTGCAAATTAAAAGTAAAAAAAAAAAAGTCCATTTCATATATTCGAATCAAGGCTTTGTTTATTTTGGTAAACGTAGACTTTTCCAGTCTTGAGTGGATCAGTGTGCGGTTAGCCACCCTCTTGTTCATTTTCAATTATCTATGCATTACAATAAATAAATGTTTATTGTCAGTTTGTTGAACGCACCATTTTTAATGTTTTCTCTTGTTTTTTTGCAGGTTGCAAGATCAAAGCTTTGCGTGCGAAAACAAACACCTACATCAAAACCCCCGTGAGAGGAGAAGAGCCCGTGTTCATCGTGACGGGCCGGCGCGAGGACGTGGAAATGGCCAAACGCGAGATCATCTCGGCGACCGAGCACTTCTCCATGATCCGCGCCTCGCGCTGCAAAGCCGGCGCAAACGGCCCCGGATTGAGCGGCTCGCTTCCCGGCCCTCCCAACCTCCCCGGACAAACCACCATCCAGGTGCGCGTTCCCTACCGCGTCGTGGGCCTAGTGGTGGGACCCAAGGGAGCCACGATCAAACGCATCCAGCAGCAGACGCACACCTACATCGTGACGCCCAGCCGCGAGAAAGACCCTGTATTTGAGGTCACCGGCATGCCTGAGAACGTGGATCGCGCGCGAGAAGAGATCGAAACGCACATTACGTTGCGCACCGGCGCTTTCGTTGACCTCCAAGGTGATAACGACTTCCACAGCAATGGGACGGATGTGAGTTTAGAGGGTCTCGGGTCGCTCGGTTTGGCCGGCGCGCTTTGGTCGCGTGCGACTCACTCTGCGCCTCCACCTCCGCCGCAGATGCACCATTCATCGCGCAAAATGTCGTCCGAATCATTCTCTGCGACTCGACGGGCGACAGATGGAGGGGGAAGCCCAACAAGCCCATTTAGCACGAGCAGCGCCGGCGGGAGCTTCTCCTTCGCAGGCGATTCAACTCCGAACTTGCCTGCGACGTCAGAGGATTTGGGTTTTGAATTTGGTGCTGCGAATATATGGGCGCCGTTTGTGAACGGTGCGAAGCAGCAGAAGCAGCCGCCGCCACCGCCGGTCCGTCGCAACAGCAGTGGCCTCAGCGGTGGAGCCGTAACCCCGCGCCTCTCACCCGACCCGGATCACCCGGTCGCCCGCCGGGCCCAAAGCGACCCGCTCAGTGCGCTCTCCTGGCTCCAGACGGGCGCCGGAGGCAGTAGCAGCGGCGGCAGCAGCACCGGATACTCGTCCTGCTCGGCGTCGTCGCTCCCGGGTGGCTCGCCAACTGATTCAGAAGGCGGCGGCAGTGGAGTGGGAATCGCATCCACCATGTTGGGACGCCTCAAAGCGGGTGGCCTGGCTGGGATGGTGTCACGGGACTGTTTCGTGTGCTGCGAGAGCGAGGTGACGGCTGCACTCGTCCCATGCGGCCACAACCTCTTCTGCATGGATTGCGCTGGGCAGATTTGCCAGTCGCAGGATCCCGAGTGTCCCATTTGCCACACTCCTGCCACGCAGTGCATCCGGATCTTCTCTTAAACAAAGACTGCCTTGAGTAATTATTAGAAATGACACTATTCTGATTTATTGACAGTAATAATAATAATAATAACAAAAAGAACAGTGACTGTATTACCCACTCAAGTACTTGTCAGACTCTTATCTTCAGCCGTTCATATTCAGTGGGTTGTTTTTCCATTCATGCTTCCGACTTTTTCTACTCGCGGATTTTTCAACTTTTACGCTGCACTTTTTTCTAATGCGTTTTTTTTCGTGTTGCCGATGCAGTCGTTTTTAAAATTATTTTTGCGTTTTTTTTAATGTGAAAGCTGCGCTCGTTTAGACCAAAACATGAGAGATATTTCTGTTTTATTATCGAACACTTAATATTTATACGAGTCGATATGCGACGTGCTAGTGGATGTTGGATCTGAAATAACTAGAATAGTACATGTTATGAATATCATTACCATGCATTTTCTCTTTTGCCACACTACCTTAAAACATTCACGTGTCGGTTCATTCCTGTACTACAGAAACAAGGTTGCTAGTATTTACCAAGGAGCTTTTATCTGTTACGACTTTTCAAATCAAACCGCATACTGAATTATCTTTCGAATGTGAGCGTGACTGCGACACAGAAATGTATTTAGATGAAGATTGTGTCTGTCTTCCGGCCCTCGCAAGAGCGTTTCGTTTACGATCGCGCTTGGCTCCCCGTACGCTGCCTACGAACTAATCTGTAGCCCCGCCCGAACGGTTTTTACGCCACAAGCCATGCTTTCAAACTCTAAAGGGCTTCTGGTTGCACACTACACTTCAGGTCGTCCTAATAAACGGGATGCTAGTCCGCGTTGGCAGCTAAATCACCAGGGCTTCCGTACGTTTTAGTAATGCACGAGCCATTTCTCCTTGAACGCGAGGGACTCTGACGTCTTAAAGGGCAAGAATGCGTTTTGATTTGTAAA